GGGTGGCTAGTGGAGTGTACCCAGGTAGGTTAGAAAAGGCGGCGCCCTTGGTTGCTATCAGTTCTTGTACCTGGATACGCTCTTGAGGACTTAGCCGCTCCCCCAGTTGAACCCCCTGGGAGGGTTCCTTCTGCTCCTCCTGCTCTAACAGATCTGGAAGGGGCAGGTTCTCCTGATCTTCGGAGGCGGGCGTGCAAATAGCTGCCACGTCCTCCGTCCGCTCGTGGTAGGGTTTGAGCATGTTCACATGGAGCATGCGTCTCTTCCCTACTCCTGAGCATGGGCCGATCACATAGGTGGTATCGCATCTCTGCTCTACCACCTGGTATGGGCCCTGCCAGACGGCCTGTAGTTTATCGGTGCGGACCGGTTTAAGGATTAGCACCTTCTGTCCCACTTGAAAACTACGGTCTCTGGCCCCCTTGTCATACCAACGACGCTGTCGTTGTTGGGCGGCCTGGAGGTTGGTGCGCACTGCCTGGGTCAATTCCTCCAGGCGATCCCGGAACGCCAGCACGTAGGGTACAATTGGGGTCCCATCTGCGCTACTCTCCCCTCCCAATGCTCTCTAATGAGATCCAACGGCCCCCGGACCCTTCTCCCAAACAATAGCTCAAATGGGGAGAAACCTGTGGACTCTTGGGGTACCTCTCTGTATGCAAACAACAGATGGGGAAGGAATCGTTCCCAGTCCTTATGGGTCTCTCCGAATGTCCGGAGCATCTGTTTTAGGGTGCCGTTGAATCTCTCACATAATCCATTGGATTGCGGGTGGTAGGCGGAGTTAATGATCGGCTTAATGCCACATATCCTCCATAATTGCTGAGTAACCTCAGCCATGAATTGCGTCCCCCTATCGGAGACCATTTCCTGTGGGAACCCTACTCGGGAGAATATTTTCATCAAGGCTTCAGCTACGGTCTCGGCGTGTATATTAGTTAGGGCAATCGCCTCGGGGTACCGGGTGGCGTAATCCACCACGGTCAGGATATACCGTTTCCCAGAAGGGCTGGGTTTTGGTAGTGGCCCTACTATATCCACTGCCACACGGCTGAATGGTTCCTCAATGATAGGTAGGGGACACAGTTTTGCCTTGTGGCGGTCCCCCCTCTTGCCTACCCTCTGGCACACATCACAGGAGGTACAATATTGCCTCACGTCTTTAGAAATCCCGGGCCAAAAGAATGCGTGCGTTAAGCGATACCGGGTCCGGGTCATCCCTAGATGGCCGGACAGAGGGATATCATGGGCGATTCTTAGTAACTCCTGCCTATACTTCTGGGGCACTACTAACTGCTTGGTTTGGAGCGTCACCGAGTTGCCTATTGCCCTTTCCGCCACCCGGTATAGTAACTTCTTCTCCCACCTGTACTGTTCTCCCTCCCGCCCCACCTGGTCCGTATCTACCCTATCTCGGTATACCTGCAGTGTGGGGTCTGTCTGCACCTCTACTTCAAATGTGGACGGGGTGTCCCAAGTCATGCCTGTCAAGGGGGGGTCATGATTCCTTACCTGAGCCTCAGAGTGTGTGTGGGATGCCGTGGTGCGAGCCTGTTGCCGGGTGGTTACCGGATGCGCCTCTTGTGACGGGGCCTGGGGTAGAAAAGCAGAAGTCATCTGGCCCAAGTCATTCCCCAAAACAACATCGGCCGGTAGCTTTTTCATTATGGCCACTTCCACAACCCCCTCCCCAGCACCCCAATTCAAATGCACCTTGGCCGTGGGTAACCGGTACATGGCTCCCCCTGCTACCCGGACTGCCACTGATCCGCCAGTGTGGGCCGTATCTGGAATTAAATGGGGGGCCACTAAGGTTAAGGTGGCTCCCGAGTCCCGCAGCCCCTGCACTTCTTTCCCTCCCACAAATACAACTTGGCGGTGATGCTGCCGGTTGTCCGTGGCTTGCACAGACATTACCTCGTACAGAACCCCCAATGGTTCCTCGGTTGGTATACTTGTCAGCTCCGAATGGTCAGGTTCTGCGTGGTAGAAATGGGCCGCCGCCCTGGGAACGGAATTCTGCTGTACCTGGTTCCACGCCTGCCTGCTACGATTCTGGGTGCACTCCCGGGACATATGCCCCCACTGCCGGCAGGTATGGCATTGTATGTTGGCCCTGCCATTGTAGCGGGCTGGCGGTGGGGGGTTTCCGGGTGGTGGCCTGAAGGGGGTAGGGTTGGCGGGTGTGGAGCTGGCTGGGTGCTGTTGTATTGGCGGTCTTAGGGGACCCCTGTTGGTGAGCCCATGGTGTCTCCGGGCATCAAAGTGTTCGTCTGCCAATCGGGCGGCTGCTGTGAGGTTGAGAGGTTTTCGGTCCCTTACCCACTCCTGTGCCTCTGGTGACAGACCGTTGAAGAATTGCTCCAGCAAGATGAGTTGGCGCAGTTCCTCCATGGTGGTGGCTTGACTTGCCTGAATCCACCCTTGTGAAGCTTGGTCCAGCTTATGCGCCCATTCTGCGTGGGAATCTCTGTCGGGCTTTTTCAATCCCCGAAATTTCCGTCTGTATGCCTCTGGGGTTATGGCATATCTTTCTAGGATTGCTCTTTTTACTTTAAAGTAGTCTTTGCTGTCCTCTCTGGGCACAGCGCGGTAAGCCTCTGCTGCTCGTCCTGCCAACTTGCCTGCCAGTAAGGGTACCCACATGGTCGGTTCCAGATCGTGCAGGTCGCATAGCCTCTCGAAATCCTGCAGATATCCGTCTATCTCATCCTTCTCCTCGCAGAATGCTTTAAATGCCTGGTACGGTATTTTCTGCTTTGTTGGAGGGCAGAATGAGTTGACGATGGATTCCGCCCTGGATGGTGACCTCTGGGGTTGCTGTGCCATAATGTAGTCCTGGACGTCGGCCATTAGCACGGTTAAAATGTCCAGGGTTACTGGCTGTGGTACAAATTCCAGCCGGGTTCTCAGTTCCCTCTGGTATGGTGTTTCCTCTCTGGCAGGTGGGGGTGGACTGCTGTGTGCCTGGTCGCCCTCCATTAGCTCTGCAATCAGTACTGCCTTCGATTTGTTGCTAGCGCTTTTCCCTCTAGCCTCCAGCAGTTCCTTTAGCGTCTGTCTCTTTAACGCCGTGTAATCAGTCCCCATTCACTGATCGCTTTCGTCTGCTTGTTTCATACGAATTGCCTTTCCGTTCGGTTGTTCCTTTCATTCGAATGCGCTGTATTCGGCTGTAGAGTTGGATCCCGTCGCTTGCCACCAATTGTAGCGGAACGCCAATATAAAATCCACGAATTCCGCTGGTCCAGAAACGAATCCACAGTCAAGCGCTGAAAACACCAAGGCAATATCCCCAACCTCCCAATAACCGGACGAGACACAGTTTTGGGAGTCAACTGAAATTCTTTAATCGGCACGACAATTTATACAAGTCCCCATGCAAGGGGTTTCCTGAGTTCCTCCCCAGGGGCACTCCCAGAGGGGACTACATGGGGGACTTACAGTACAACATATTTCTCCCATCAGGCACTGCTGCACGAGAGGGATCATCCTCCCAGAATGCACCGTTAAGGGGATTATCCCCTCGTGCAGCAGAACCGGCAATTCACACAAAAATCTACAACTGTTACAATATACGGTGGATTTACACGAATGGACGTTCAGTAGATAGCTGGGGTCTGGGCGCATCATTCGTGAGATTGCCGCTCAGATCCCAGCTAAAATAACCGAACGCCGCACAGAAAACACATTTCTTTCAAAACACACGAAAAGAACCGATTGCTTTTAGTGAACCTGGTCCTGAAACTCCCGAACGTCCTGGAGGCTCAGCGGTGTTCGTGCCGTCGAATAACTATTGGTAATGCTATGCGTTCGACGACACGGACCCGCTGAAGAACAAGGGATCCAAGATGGCCGACCGCCGCATGGTCGGTAGTCGAACGACGGCCACCCAGGAGAGCCTCTAATAACCGATTGCAACAATGTTGCAATCGGTTAACTAGCGCCACACGCCTCTAAGTGTGTGGGCTATTAGGGGGTATCGCGTTCGGTTCACGAACGGCTTTCTAAAGTGCCGTTCGTGAAACGAAAGAAAATCTCCATACAAAACCGCCATTTGCATTCGGCGGAAACAGCAGTACAGGCAAAGAAGAGAATACATTAACATCTACATAAGTGTAAAGCGCATATCTCGCCCGACCTATTGGCAACCCTTAAAGGCACAGTCTCTAGCTATTGTCCAAGTGGCTAGGTTTGCCACAAAACAAAACTGTTTTGTAGGCATTTTGCCAGTCTAAAAGTTCCAGCTTGTGCAGTTTGCTTGTCATCTACTCCCGCAACAAAACTGTGCCCCTAGGAAGCTGAGCTCCCATCCACCAGCCAAGCCTCGGTACCCCAGGCCCATACAACGTGTACTAAAAGACAAGTTTGGGAAACCAATTGTCTTTTTGGGCAAATCTCAGATTTGCAACAACAACGCCTGCAAATTGCTGCATGTTTGCTAAATGTGTTTCCAAATAGATGGTTCCCTAGGCAATGACTGTCACCGGTTAACCTCACCACTTTGCAGCACTGTTTGCCACAGCACCCTTCACCACATCGAATTCAATTTCCCACCGAAGGGTTCACTCACGGATTCCACACAGGATTAGTCACAATCCCCTCATAGACACTCGAATTTGCTAATCTACAATCTGATTTGAGTAACCTACAAGCCGTGTTGTTACTTGTCTCTAAAGAACTCGAGCTAGGCTTCATGATTGGCCCTTTCACACTGCCTCCCTTCTCTAGCTGAAGAACCACCCCACTGGGCATCGCTACTGCAAAGTTTTCGAATAAACTACGCTTAATAATCAACTTTTCGGCACCTCTTTCCTCCACCACACCTAGTCTAAACTCACTAATCCCTTCTGAGGATTTTTCTCTTCAGTACGCTAAAGAATAAACTACGCTTAATAATCAACTTTTCGGCACCTCTTTCCTCCACCACACCTAGTCTAAACTCACTAATCCCTTCTGAGGATTTTTCTCTTCAGTACGCTAAAGTGGTACCGCGCTACACTGAACGGATCAGCGTGTGTCTACCCTTCGCCGACAGGTGCGGGTAACCCGCTGAACCCCGTTCGTGATAGGGATTGGGGATTGCAATTATTTCCCATCATCAATGTTGGCAGGGGAGCATGCTTATGTAAAACTGACATAGCTAATGCCTTCAAGCTCTTACCTATTCATCCTTCCCTGTGGCATCTGCATGGGATTAAGTGGGTAGACCAGTACTATTTTGCTACGAAGCTTACTTTCGGGGCCAAAGGTAGCCCGATGTTGTTCGATATCTTCGTGAAAACCTTGTGCTGGCTTCTGCTTAACTACTGCAGATGTCCCAGAGTAATTAATTACCTAGACAATTTCTTGACCATCGAGGAACCTAACTCACCCCCAGTCACTGGCGGATCCGGGGGGGGGCAACGGGGCAATTGCCCCCCCCGAGAAATCCGCCGGTCTTCCTCTCCCGTCAGCACATGCAGGCGCTAGCCCTGCAATGTGCCTGCGGACCGGAGGGGAGATCAGAGATCTCCCTCCCCGGTCCGCAGGCACTGTGCTGACAGCCGGCAGGGGAGGGAGAGGGAGGACCCGGGAGCTCAGTTTGTAGCTCCTCCGGGTCCTCCTCTCGCGAGATTTGGAGCGCGGCAACGCTCTACCCTTAACACACACACACACACATAGCCCCCATACTGCCCCCCCATACACATGCTTGCCCCCATACACACATACTGCCCCCATGCACACTGCCCCCTATGCTGACACATATACTGCCCCCATGCTGCCCCTACACACACATATGCTCCCCCATACACACATACTGCCCCAATACACACATATGCCTGCCCCCCCCCCATACACACATACTGCCCCCCATGCTGCCCCATACACACATACTGCCCCCCCATACACATACTGCCCTCATACACACATACTGCCCCCATACACACACACTGCCCCCATACACTGCCGCCCCATACACACACATTGCCCACATTCACACACACACTGCAACTGTTACACACACATACTGTCCCACACATACACTGCATCCCTGACATACACTGCCCCCCCTACTCACACACTACAACCTTCACACACACACACACACACACTGCTCACACACTGTCCCCCTCACACACACACACACTGCACCCCTTACACATTGCACCACTCACACACACCACTGCTCCTATGCCCTACTACCGCCCCATTTCCCAGCAGACCTCAGGTAAGTTGTCAAACTGTTCTTAAACGGTTTGACTACTTACTCTAGGAGGGGGTCCCGGCACTATTGACACCATAACCACTACACTGAGCTGTAGTAGTTATTGTGTCTGGATTATTTCTTTAAATAATCTACAAGTGCCCCTCCCGAGATCAGGCTCTGGATCCGCCACTGCCCCCAGTTGATCTAGCACGGATGGTAAATCTATTTCACACTCTGGGTGTACCAATCTCTGAAGCCAAAACTGAAGGGCCTGGTACAAAAATCACCTTCCTGGGGAATGTACTCTATTCTCAATCCCTGGAAGCTAGCTTACCTGAAGAGAAAGTCTGCAGAATTCTGGAAGGTTTATTTGCTTGTTTAAAAAGAGGGGTTTGCACTCGCAAAGCGTTGCAATCACTCTTAGGGACCTAAGGAAAGGCAAATTCTTTATTTCGCGTCTATTATGCATGCTGCATGGTTTACCTGACGATGATGGCGTTTTTGATAGACTCCCAAGCAAAAGCTGACATTTATTTCTTTCATCATGGAACGGCAAGTCTATGTTCATCCCGCCCATCTCAGATAAATCCCCTGTCATTTGGACAGATGCAGCCAGTACTCCAGCTTATGCTGAAATCTTCAGGAATGAGTGGATCCAGGCACCCTGGCCCCTGGAAACCAACCAATTACACAATTTTGCCTACTCTTCGGCTCTGTTAGAAATTTTCCCAGTGGTAGTTGCAGCTTTCACTTTGGGGGTATCCTAGAGAGGTCAGGCTGTCAGGTGTTTTCTCGATAACCAGGCAGCTTGTCACATTCTCAACAAGGGTCGCTCCAAATCTTTGGTTATTATAAAACTGGTGAGGAGGCTAACCTGACTTGCAGCTTCTCATCAGTTTATTACTTGCACGCATGTTCCCGGTGTACAAAATGCGGCTGCTGATGCATTATCCCGCTTCAAATTTCAGGAGTTTTTCTGGCATCACCCCACAGCAAACAGACAAGAGACCAGGCCGCCTCTTTTCAAATAACTAATCCTGGATTAGGGGCTCTCCTAGCGCACAGTAAAAGTTTGTCCCAAATGTGCTTGTCAGATAACACCAGAAAAACATATGACAAAGCTTTCAAGTTATTTTCCAAATTTGTAGCAGACTTTCATATAATAAACTCCTTTTCTATTGAATCATGGGTCGCATTCGCTACCTTTTGCCACATTTCTTTAAAACTAGCACACAACACCATCAAGTTATACCTCACAGGTCAACACCAAATGCTGATCACATTCCCTAATAATTCACCTATCCTGTCATTTTATCCCATAAAGAGCATACTGAAAGGTATACAGAAGTTAATCTTCTCTCAACACCCACAGCGATTGCCAAATGACAGCTCTAAATTCCAAAACATTTCAAACCTACTTGACACTGCACCTATTGAACAGCAAACAAACCTTCTCATTAAAGCAGCCGTATACCTTGCATTCTACGGTTTCCTTAGCCCCAGAGAGTTTACCATCACAAAATTCTCTGACAAATTACCTAAAAATGCACGACCTTGTCAACACAAATGATTACTACATCTTGACACTAAGACAGTCCAAAACTAGTCAAATGGGTCCGGCAGTAGAGATCCCGTACTATCCAACACCTTTACCCTGGTACCCGGTCAAGGTTCTAGACTGACTCGCTAGTACACATATAGGCTCATCAAAAGGTTCACCTCTACTCGAATTACACGGTAAACCACTAACAACGCACAAGTTCGTTCTGTACCTGCGTACTCTTAATAATGTATTGCCTATCTAGTATAACTACTCTGGCAGACAAACCGGATTTCCTACAGGCATTGGGGCTTCCACCTATTGAGAGAGGATTGGACTGGGATTTCTCACTGCTTCAAGTCACAGAGCCCACAAAAACCCAGTTGGCATAGTAATTTCGAAAAACAGAAGGAATTAGCTATCGTTATTAGGAAATTTAAAAAAAAAAAAACAATTTATGAGATCAGAGTTTATGAAGATCTAGATTTATATGGGGGAAATGTTGCAAATATATACACATAGTATATCTATATTATTTGATATGAGGTGGTGAAGATAATATTGAGCCTCTACTCAGGTTATCCCAAATATTATTACCCTGTGTTTGAATTGATGTGATTATATATTATTTGGAAGAGGCACTGGGGTATATATGCTCCATTACTCCCCAACTCAACACTGGGTTGCAATAGTGATCGACTTCATGAGTTGGGGGGAGAGGGCAATTAGAATTATATATACATACACGGCACTTACTGTGATAATTATAATTTATAAACCCGCTTTCCCCCTCCCTGAGAGATGCCGATATGGCTTGTGGACACAATGGTGTTTCATACAAGTGTGGCATCATAACTAATCCTAGTGTGAGTTATTATACTCACACATGTGTAATCAATTTTAATCCTTTTTATGTATTTTTTTTTGTATTGTACTAAGTTCATTCTTTGTCTGCCTAAATTTCTTCTCTATTATGATCTACCCTGTAGAACGTGGTATTATATAAGTAGTATACTTTGCTCCCTATATGGCCCACATTAGCCTTATGTCTCTGAATGTTAGAGGCCTTAACTCCCCAGGAAAGCGGTCCATGCTAGCGCAGGAGCTAGACAGGCAAAAAAAGATGTAATGTTCATTCAAGAAACCCATTATAAAGGCAACTTCCAACCGAGACTTAAATAAAATTCAAATAAAATTAAGCAAACTTTTTATAGCAACTATATAAAATGGAAGTCTAGAGTAGTAACAATTTTTGTTGCCTCCCATTGTAACTTTATTGAAGTAGAGAGTAAACACAATCCGAGAGGGAGCTTTGCCTTTATAAAGGGGAAGGTTAATGACCAGATTATTACGCTAGCAAATATATATGGGCCTAACTTAAGCAAAGCATCTTTTATAACTTCCTGTGTCATGTTCCTGAGCAGGTCAGAGAGGAGACGATTGCCAGGGTTATGGGTTGAAACTTTGTCTTTTTTGACATAACAATTTACTTGAAAGTAAGAATTAAGGCAATATGCCACAAAAAAGGATACTTTGAGAGTTAAAACAGAATAAAGGCAATATGCCACAAACAGGATACTTTGAGAGTAAATGAATAAAGTATTTTATATACAAGTAGGTTTGTAATCTGTGGAATGCCAAGTTCAGGATGATACAGGGTTTAAATGGTTAAAGCTGTTAAGTACTTTCAGTATAATATAGTACAGGTTGCTTAAAGGATTATGCAGAGTTGCAGCAGTTGAGACAGGTAAGTAGATTCCAGTATAATGTAATACAGGTTGCTTACAGGATCTTGCAGAGTTGCAGTAGTTGAAGATAAGAGTTTCGGGAGGATTCCGGCGACGGGACACACAGAGTCTCAATTGAGGATCATGATGATGTTTTACGAGCCAGGATACAGGATGTTTTCAGGAGCCAGGATCAGAAATCAGCAATAAAATAAAACAATTTCTTGGTTGTCAGGATAGGATCCTGATATCCTGTCTGAAAAAACTGGAAGGATACTTAGAATGGATTTTAGTCGTTGGGGGCGACTGGAATTTGGTATTAGACCATGCAATGGACAGTTCCTCACAGACGAGAGATGCTTTGCACCATCAGAGGTCTGTTTTTTGGTTGTTTTTTTTAAATACATTGTATTCCCAACAACTGATTATTAACTCCATGTTTCCCTCTTCCACCCCCAATGCTGAGAGCAGTGATTAGTTATACATAAAACAGGAAAAGACCCGGAGGTCTGTAGTAGTTACAGACCAATTTCACTTATTAATCTTAATTTAAAAATATTTTCTAAATTAATAGCAAATAGGCTCAAACCCCTTATGTCTGGACTGATCCACCCTGATCAAGCAGGTTTTGTTCCTGGCCGTGAGCCCAGGCACAATACCACTAAGATTCTTAATTTGATACATGGAGCAATCTCTCACAAGATTCCAACTATTTTGTTAGCGATTGATGCTGAAAAGGCTTTTGACAGGGTGAATCGGTCCTATCTATTTGATATATTGGAGGTGTGGGGGTTTGGTCCTATATTATGTAACTGTAAATTGAGAAGAGAAAAATAGAGAGTGTGTATCAAACTGCTGGAATGAGTAGGGGGGTAACCCCTGTTGAATGAAATTTAAGTAGGAGGAAAAATACAACGTAAACCTGGGGAATGCACATCCAGTATATCCTAGTGCACCTACAGGATACTTGTATAGAGGTCAGCAGTCTCAAAATTAAAATATAACTTTAATAATTTAAATTTAAAAATATATACGTGGTCGGTGAGGACAGAACTTACAAAAGTCAGGAGGAAGGAGATATGCTTGCTAGTATCAAATAGTGGCACAAATAATGGGAGTGCAGGAGGGAGGGGGTTGATAGAGAAAATCTGAACTCCAACTAATCCCCAGCGTACCCTCTCTTGCCTAAAGCAACCCAAAAGCCCAAAGCTAGCAAAGTCACTAACTCCTAACTCTAAAACTTAAATAATAAGCCTGACGGTAGAAATAGCTGCCTAATCGAAAAGAAACTGTCCTAACTAAAAACCAAATCGGGTAGAGAGATCTCGAGGGGGGTGACTAAATATAAAGTAATGAATTTTGCAGGAGCGTCCTCCCTATCTGTCAGATTCACCCTCCCCTCAGTTCTTCCCGACGCGCGTTTCGCCGACTAGCGGCTTTTTAGAACTAAAAAAGCCGCTAGTCGGGAAGAACTGAGGGGAGGGTGAATCTGACAGATAGGGAGGACGCTCCTGCAAAATTCATTACTTTATATTTAGTCACCCCCCTCGAGATCTCTCTACCCGATTTGGTTTTTAGTTAGGACAGTTTCTCTTCGATTAGGCAGCTATTTCTACCGTCAGGCTTATTATTTAAGTTTTAGAGTTAGGAGTTAGTGACTTTGCTAGCTTTGGGCTTTTGGGTTGCTTTAGGCAAGAGAGGGTACGCTGGGGATTAGTTGGAGTTCAGATTTTCTCTATCAACCCCCTCCCTCCTGCACTCCCATTATTTGTGCCACTATTTGATACTAGCAAGCATATCTCCTTCCTCCTGACTTTTGTAAGTTCTGTCCTCACCGACCACGTATATATTTTTAAATTTAAATTATTAAAGTTATATTTTAATTTTGAGACTGCTGACCTCTATACAAGTATCCTGTAGGTGCACTAGGATATACTGGATGTGCACTCCCCAGGTTTACGTTGTATTTTTCCTCCTACTTATATATTATGTAACTGGATACAGGCACTCAATAGAGGTCCTACAGCTAATATTCAAGTTAATGATCAATTATTAATACCCTTTTCTATTAAGTGGCACGCGCCAAGGGTGTCCGCAATCCCCCCTTCTATTTATCTTGGCATTTGAACCATTCCTTATGGCCATTCGGAATTATATACAACTTAAGGGATATAGGCATACCGGGGGAGAGGTTAAAGTATCCGCATTTGCGGTTGGTGTCTTGCTTTCGATTACAGACCCTCTACACTCGTTACCCCAAGATGGAATTGGAGACTTATGGAATATTTTTAAACATATAAGTGTGAAATATTGGGGGTTAATGTAGATGTTAGATTAAAAGAACAGATACAGAGACATTTTAATTTTAACTGGGCAGAAAGAGGCCTAATATATATAGTGGTACAGCTTGCAGTAGAACAGAACTAGAGATTTAAGCTGACTTATGGAAGATTAGTAGAAGATATACGTAAAGATCTTTAAAAATGGGATATGCATTTCTTCTCTATGATCGGCAGAGTAAACATCATAAAAATGATGGTACTCCCCAAAGTTTTTTTATTAGACATTGCCCTTTTAGTCCTAGGGGAGTTTTTTTTCGTAAAATGCGCTCTTTGTTCAACTCATTTGTTTGGAGCAGTAAAACCCAATGTTTAGCGTATAATATTATGACATCACCTATAGATAGAGGGGGACTGGCTCTCCCACATCTTAACAGATATTATGTGGCAGTGCTATTCACATGAATAAGAGAATGGACGGCTACGGATAAGAAAAAGTCTTGGTACTCTTTGGAACAGAGTTTTGATAAAGTTCCGCTACACACACTGCCTTGGCAAACATGCCAATTAACTGCACTTATACCCTCCGGCCACCGACTCATATCCCATATATTACGGAGTTGGAGACGCCTTAAAGACTCCTGGGGATTGTCCCCGGGACTATCTGTATTTTATCCCATAGCATTCAATCCAGAGTTTCAGACAGGGTAGTAATTTACTAAGAAGAATATTGGGGACACCAGACCCGGATATAGCGATTATATTTAGAGAGGAAGGTCCCCCTAAGATTAAAAAAAAATCCAAATCAGATAGTAATGGGACACTTATAGATATAATGAGAACTTCCCAACTATTTTTTTTTTTTTTTTTTAAATCACTTAGTAATACCACATTGGCACAGGAAAGCTATAACACCATTTGAGCTGTTGTGTGGTCCGGGGAGAACACATAAACGTTGTTTTTCTAATATATATGGTATCATTCAGAAAGGTGTTACGGAGGGGCAAGTGCCTTCTTTTTAACGGAAGTGAATGCAGGGACTTCATATCCATCTGACTGAGGGAGATTGGTCACACAGTTGCAAGAAAAAGTATGTAAACCCTTTGGAATTATATGGATTTCTGCACATATTGGTCATAAAATGTGATCTGATCATCATCTAAGTCACAACAATAGACAATCACAGTCTGCTTAAACTAATAACACACAAAGAAAGAAATGTTGCCATGTTTTTATTGAACACACCATGTAAACATTCACAGTGCAGGTGGAAAAGGTATGTGAACCCTTGGATTTAATAACTGGTTGAACCTCCTTTGGCAGCAATAACTTCAACCAAACGTTTCCTGTAGTTGCAGATCAGACGTGCACAACGGTCAGGAGTAATTCTTGACCATTCCTCTTTACAGAACTGTTTCAGTTCAGCAATATTCTTGGGATGTCTGGTGCGAATCGCAATGGATACAGAGAGTGGAAGGTTTGAGGGAAATGGAGGAAATCCATTGGGGAAGAGAAAGCATTATCTTAAGGTCTGGGAGCCCTGGTTAACACAATGGATAGATGGACAACTGCTGTCCTAGAGGTAAAAAGGATTAAAAAAAAAAATTAAAAAAAAATAATATATCCTATAGTGATCTTTAACACCCCTCCCCTGTCCCATAGTGTACTTTAACCCCCCTCCCCTGTCCCATAGTGTTCTCGCCCCCCTCCCCTTGTCCCATAGTGTCCCTTAATTACTTTTAGGATTAAGATTCAATTTGCTAAAATTTGAAATTTAGTTAATTTCAATCCTTTTGAAATAGGCCTATTTTAGCTTCAGTTTTGCAAAATTTTGATTGAATCCACTAACATTCTGATTTTAGTGAATAATTCTGTTGGAATACGTAAATCAAAAACAACAGTAATTTTACATAAATATCTAAACATTAAGAATGCTAATTAGTATTTTGAATATTCAATGCCAAGGTTAATCATTTGCAGTAAAACAGTATAACTGAAATGAGAGCATAAACTATGAATAGATCATTAAATGCCAGATTACTATATTAACTGGGTATAAGTATTGGGTAAAATGTTGAATAAATACTGCACAGTCCTTGTCCCATAGTGATCTTTCCCTCCTATAGTGTCCCCCCCTCCCCGTATCCCTTAATTACTTACCTTTATTGTAGCGTGGGCCAGCAGAACAGTGCGCACCGCGGTACAGGAACTTAAATTTCAGTTTCCGGCCAGACTGAAAGGAAGTGTGCACACTCAAGGTAAGTAAAGCTTCACATTTGCTCCATAAGACGCACAGACATTTCCCCTCACTTTTGAGGGAAAAAAAGTAAGTCTTCTGGAGCGAAAATAGGCAGACTACCCCCCCCCCCCTCTTTTTTTCCCCTCTTTTTTTGTTTTTCTTAATTTTTTTGGCTTTCTTATCTATTTTTTTCTGTGTTGTATACTCTTTAAGGTGTATAAAGATATAATTGGTAATATATTATTGAGTAGTGATATTGTCATAAACACGTGACTTATGTTAGATATAGGTTGGCTGGGGTAATGAGATTCATGGTGATAATTACACAAGGATTTCCATAATGATACCCAATAGTCAGTGGGAGACATAAGATAAGATACCCTTTTTTTTATATATGGGCCTTGTGAAGAAAATAGACTTTTACCTGTTATTTTCTCCTTTTTATTCGGTATTTTTTTATGTGAATACTTGTATATTGAATGGATTTTACTTCAAAGAGACTAGCTATTAAGTGCTCGCTGGGCGGCCGCTGTTCGTATAACCGAACACCACGTGGAAAAGAAAACGGCGGCCATCTTGTTCGCACGAGGAGAGCCAGCGGGACTTGGTCGTCGAGTGTCTGGAACTAAAATTGGACACTCGACCTCACGAACTACCACTGGAAACTACCGAACGCCGGCTTCTCATACTTCCTGAACAGCCAGGAGAGCCTCATTCGGTAGTTCTGTGCGAACAGACAAGGGGAGCAATCGCTACTATGAGCCAGGGGAATCCATTCAGGACATTTGTTCGTTTTTTGCAGTTTTGTGAATTGACCGACCGCACACACTGAATTAATGGAACTGTTTTGGGCAGGAGCTGCGTGTGTGGTCGGTAAAAGGGACCCTCCACACTTTTTCAGAACCCTGAACCGAAATTTGGATATGTTTGTCCCCCAGATCGGGGCTATCAGGGGATATGTAATTTTTGGGGATACCTTGTGGGGAAAGGGGTGTTCTAGGTTTTGGGGAATCAAGACCGCAGCACCATAACCACTGCAGGTCTTAACAACTGGTGGCAAGCGACGGGATTGAATGGAACGCATAAGGACAACTGGTGAATGGCCCAGCAGTACGAGAAACTAAAAAGGACCACTCTAAAGGATCTGCTGGAAGCTCTGGGACAAGTAGCCAGCAACAAAAAGAAAGCTATCCTCATGGCAGAATTGATGGAGGGCGACCAATCCAGCAGCATGGCGAATGTCGGCCAGGAGGAAGTTGAATTCCAACAAAAGGTGATGTGGAGGCTAAACCTATATGGGCCAAATCCCACACCTGAGATGGTGTCCCAAGTGCTGGCACAAGTGAGCGCAGAGGGGAGAGAGATGCAGGCAACTGTGAACCAAGGGGACAACGCTTCCCTAGCTTGATCTATAAATAGAGGGCAGTGGAGAAAGATCAACTATGCTGCTTTTAAAAGTTTTGCAGATGGAGATATGGAAATTGACGCATACCTGCAGGATTTTGAGCGTCAATGCGCATTTGAAGGTCTGGAATCAGAGCAATGGGCCGCGATTTTAAGCAGTAAGCTGACAGGCCGAGCAGTTCCTGACACCGCCAGGGTAAAGGACATTCTGCTAGCCAGGTATGCCGTGACCCCAGAGACTTACAGAGAGAAGTTTTGGGCATTACAGAAAGGGGACCAAGACTCCTATACCGAGTGGGCCTTTTGGATGTATCGGGCAGCACAAAATTGGATACAAGGCTGCTAGGCCACAACGCTAGAGGAAGTACTACAACTTTTCTTGCTAGAACAATTTTTTGACCACACTCCTGCATATACCAGGGACTAGGTCAGAGACAGGAAGCTGTCCACAGTCGAGGAAGCAGCAAAGCTAGCGGATGAGCATCATGAGGGAAGAAAAGGAGAAGCGGGTGGGAACCGTCCTCTGGTAAGGTACAGCGCACCAACGCCAGGTCCTGTAGCCAACCCCAGACCTAACCCGGTACCACCCATGACACAGCCTACGTTTAATAGAAGAGCCCCTGTAGTATGTCACCAGTGCAACCAGCCAGGACACTACAAAATGCATTGCCCTCAGCGAAGCAGAGGCAACTGGGAGTGGCCCCCACCACCACCAAGGGCCGCCGCTCACCACTACCAGCATGAACCCCTGGAAGAACACAGCCTAGATGCAGAGCAGTGGGCCGTACTTCATGAGGTGAACCTAGCCCAAGCCGAGGGAGACAACCGGGTGCACCACCGACAATGGGTCACCATAGACGGAAAAGAGGCAGAGGCGCTACGAGACTCTGGGGCTACCCTTACCTTGGTACAACCTCACACGGTGTCTGCAAAGGCGCGCACCCATAAGACTGTAGCTGTAAGGGTGGCAGGGGGCGCCACCCACAAGTTACCCACAGCCCGGGTACAGTTAAACTGGGGCACTGGAGCCAAGCAGATGGAGGTGGGCATTATGTCGGGATTACCTGCGGAAGTTTTGTTGGGGAACGATTTGGGGTGTCTAACTTTACAGCTGATTCACCCCGATCCCGCTGGAACATGCCCCGTGACGACCAGGGCACAAGCCCACCGGGCTGGATTGACACACTCCAAGGAACCACAGGTAGGAACAGAAACCCCCGTAACCTGCCCTACCCCTATTCCTTTCTGGGGTGCTCCCCAAGATTTTGGCCAAGCCCAGCAGTCAGACCCCACCTTAGCAGGGTACAGGAAGGCAGTAGGGATCTCTAAGGAAGGTAATGGCCACGAGAACTTCCACTGGGACAAGGGACTGCTATATAGGGTCACAGGGGGAGTGGGACAGGGGGCAGCCCAAGTTATAAAAAGGCAGTTAGTCCTGCCCCGTAAATATCGGGCGGAGCTGCTAAAGCTCAGCCATGATATCTCGCTGGCAGGGCATCTGGGTATCAAGAAAACTAAGGACCGTCTTACCCAGATGTTCTTCTGGCCGGGGATATCCAAAGATCTGCAGACCTACTGCAGGACATGTGACACATGTCAAAGGATAGGGAAGAGGGGGGGACCACCCTAAGGCCAAGTTAAGGTCCCTACCTATAATAGAGGAACCATTCTACAGAGTGGTAGTAGATCTGATAGGGCCTCTCAGCAAACCTAGCTCCTACGGGGAGCGCTACATCCTCACAGTGGTGGACTACGCCACCAGGTACCCTGAGGCTGTAGCGCTCTCCAACATTGAGGCAGAGACAGTAACAGAGGCTCTAGTCAGGATCTGAGAAATACTCTCAGATCAGGGAACCCAGTTCACGGCAACTGTAACGCAACAGTTGTGGCAGAGCTGCGGAGTAAAGCCGTTATTTAGCTCCCCTTACCACCCCCAGACTAACGGGCTCTGCGAACGCTTCAACGGCACGCTTAAGCAAATGCTCACGGCAGTCACAGAGTCCTATGGTCAATGGGAGAAGTTTTTACCTCATCTCCTGTTTGCCTACCGAGAAGTGCCTCAGGCGTCCACTGGGTTCTCCCCCTTCGAACTCCTATACGGGAGAAAAGTCCGGGTACCCCTGGACCTCATACGGGAGCACTGGGAGGGCAACAGAGGAGAGGAGAGGATCCCAGTTTTGCCATAGGTGCTGGAGTTTCAGGACCACTTGCAGGCCCTAACCGAATCAGTTCGGGAGAACCTGCAGGCGGCTCAGAAGCGTCAGAAACAATGGTATGATCGGGGAGCCCGAGACAGGAACCTGGAGGTAGGGCAAAAGGTACTAGCCCTCAGACCCTCCAAGAAGGACAAGCTCCAGGCAGCTTGGCAGGGGCTATTTAAGGTGGTGGAACGGATTAGCGACACCACCTATATTGTGGCTAAATGTTCCGATGAAAGGGTCAGATGGGCCTTTCATGTGAACATGTTGAAGCTGTACTTTGAACACTCTGAGGACGTGGACGCCATTTGTGCCTCGTCTTCTTACGACAGTGAAGGGCTCCCCCTACCCAACTTGCTGGCAGCTAACCAAGGTACCTTAGAGCAGGTCGGGTTGGGAGAGAAATTAGACACCTCGCAGCAGGCAGACGCAAAACAACTGCTACGGGAATACGGGGAGCTGTTCTCGGTCCTACCCGGGTACACCTCCGCCGCAGTACATCAGGGGGAGACTCCCTTACGGCAGCAACCGTACGGTATTCCGACAGCAGTGCGGACTAGCATGTGGAAGGAAATTCAAGAGATGTTAGAACTAGGGGTTATTCAGGCTTCCCAAAGTCCCTGGGCGTCTCCGGTGGCTCTAGTACCTAAACGAGATGGTACGACTCGCTTCTGTATTGATTACCGGAAACTGAACGATCGGACTATCACAGACGCCTATCCCATGCCACGGATCGACGAACTGCTCGATCGCATGGCCAGCGGGCACTTCCTAACTACCCTAGACTTGTGCAAGGGATACTGGCAGATCCTGCTAGATCCGGCCGCCATCCCTAAGTCGGCATTCGTTACCCCATTCGGGCTATACCAATTTTGGGTTATGCCGTTTGGGATGAAGAATGCCCCCGCTACGTTTCAAAGAATGGCGGACCGGCTTCTGGAGGGAATGCAGGACTTCGCATGTGCATATCTAGATGATATTTCCATCTATAGCAGCACATGGGAGTCACACCTGTCACACTTAGCTATGGTATTTGGGAAGTTGCAGGAAGCTGGCCTCACCCTGAAACCCGAGAAATGACATGTGGGCATGGCTGAGGTCCAATACCTAGGGAATAGAGTAGGGTCTGGGAAACAGCACCCCGAACCCGCTAAGGTAGAGGCCATAGCTAATTGGCCCCAGCCCCGCACCAAGACGCAGGTATTGGCCTTCCTAGGTACCGCAGGGTATTATAGAAAGTTTGCCCCTGAGTACAGCACCCTAGCCAAACCCCTTACCGACCTGACCAAAAAGGCCCTACCTAAGCAGGTCGCGTGGTCCCCGGAGTGTGCAACAGCGTTCCAGAGACTTAAAGCAGCTTTGAGCGAAGCTCCAGTACTGGCGGCCCCAGACCCTAACAAAACATTTCTCGTCCACACAGATGCCTCCATGTTTGAGCTGGGAGTCAGGTGGGGGAAGATGGCATGGAGCACCCGGTGGCATATCTCAGTCGCAAGTTGCTACCTCGGGAGGTCAGCTATGCTACCGTGGAAAAAGAATGCTTGGTGCTGGTATGGGCATTAAAGAAACTACAACCGTATCTTTATGGCCGTGCGTTTACCCTACTGACTGACCACAACCGCCTCATTTGGCTTAACCGAGTCTCTGGAGACAACCCCCGGTTGCTACGCTGGAGTTTGGCGTTGCAGCCCTACAATTTTACGCTGCAATATCGCCCAGGCAAGCAGAATGGCAATGTGGATGGGCTTTCCCGTCAAACGGACTCGGACGTTTAACTATGCTACCCGGACATCCACTAGCCAACCCGGCAGGGTCTAGGCGGGTATGCCGACCCATGGAACTAAGGGGGAGTAATGTGAAGAAAATAGACTTTTACCTGTTATTTTCTCCTTTTTATTCAGTATTTTTATATGTGAATACTTGTATATTGAATGGATTGGTTCGGTAGTTTGAAACTACCGAACACCGACCACCCTCCTGGCTCATTTACTTCAAAGAGACTAGCTATTAAGTGCTCCCTGGGCGTTCGCTGTTCGTATAACCGAATGCCACGTGGAAAAGAAAACGGCAGCCATCTTGTTTGCACGAGGAGAGCCAGCGGGACTTGGTCGTCGAGTGTCTGGAACTAAAATTGGACACTCGACCTCACGAACTACCGGTGGAAACTACCGAACGCCGGCTTCTCATACTTCCCGAACAGCCAGGAGACCCTCATTCAGTAGTTCTGTGCGAACGGACAAAGGGAGCAATCGCTACTATAAGCCAGGGGAATCCATTCAGGACTTTTGTTCATTTTTTGCAGTTTTGTGAATTGACCGACGGCACACGCTGAATTCATGGAACTGTTTTGGGCAGGAGCTGTGTGTGTGGTCGGTAAAAGGGACCCTCCACACTTTTTCAGAACCCCTGAACTGATCTGGGTGAAATTTGGATATGTTTGTCCCCCAGATCGGGGCTATCAGGGGATATGTAATATGTGGGGATACCTTGTGGGGAAAGGGGTGTTCTAGGTTTTGGGGAAATTGTGTGCTCTCTGCCTGGAGATAATTGGTTTATTCCTTAACTTATCTCAATTTTTCCCAGGCAGAGAGGAGGCGTGTAATACTGTAAATCTGTGTGATGATTGGCTGTTGCTTTTGTTTGCTGTGGGAGGTCCTCTTGCAGGAGGATTTCTCATAAAAGCCTGTGTGTTTTCAATAAAGACTATTCCTGTTACACCCTTCATGAAGTCTAGGCTCATGTTTGGGGGATATTCTACTTGCTGGGAAGAATCACATTGGAACTGCATTTTATCTATTCTATTCCTCCACTCCCTGCTGCAGCTATAATCACTCATGCTCAGCTGTTGGGAGAGGGAATCAAGACCGCAGCACCATAACCACTGCAGGTCTTAACAGGCCTTTTTGTTAGCAATAATTAAAGTAATACATATGATGATTTGGTAATTAACAATCTCATTCATAGATAACAAGATATGAATTATACACCAATTTCTGATGTAATAAAAAGGAAAAACACAAACAGAAAAAAAGTATTGCTTATCTTTTTGCCCTCTTTATTAGAAGGCCTAACACTCGTCGGTTCCAGACCACCACTACCGACTTTTAGTATTATAATATAACTCTTATTAGAATCTAACATTTATTTAAAGGACCACTATAGTGCCAGGAAAACATACTCGTTTTCCTGGCACTATAGTGCCCTGAGGGTGCCCCCACCCTCAGGGTCCCCCTCCCGCCCGGCTCTGGAAGGGGAAAGGGGTAAAAACTTACCTTTTTCCAGCGCTGGGCGGAGAGCTCTCCTCCTCCTCTCCGCCTCCGTTACGCCCCGCCGGCTGAATGCGCACGCGCGGCAAGAGCTGCGCGCGCATTCAGCCGGTCTCATAGGAAAGCATTTGCAATGCTTTCCTATGGACGCTGGCGTGCTCTCACTGTGATTTTCACAGTGAGAAGCACGCAAGCGCCTCTAGTGGCTGTCAATGAGACAGCCACTAGAGGCTTTGGGGGAAGGCTTAACCCATTCATAATTATAGCAGTTTCTCTGAAACTGCTATAATTATGAAAAAATGGGTTAACCCTAGAAGGACCTGGCACCCAGACCACTTCATTAAGCTGAAGTGGTCTGGGTGCCTAGAGTGGTCCTTTAATTCACGATCAGCTATGGTTTCCAAACACAAATTTAAAGGCATCAGCCTGTAGTTGTGGGAGGAATTGTCCGGCCTATTTAAACCCAGACCTCCTACTCTTACCTGTACTCGTTCCAGCGTTGCCCTCCCTCCTCACCCTTTTGGTAAATATGTAAATAACATCACTCTAATCAGGTGGGCCCTCTTTATTACAGGCCTAACCACTCGGCGGTTCAGGCACACCACTACCGACTTTTGGTATTGTAATATAACTCTTATTAGAATCTAACATTTATCTAATTAACAATCGGCTATGGTTTTTTTACCACATATATATATATTATTGATAAAGACCCAGGAAGGTCGAAACGTTGATGTAAAGTTTTTGAATCATTTGAATACACGTTAGAAAACCGAGATAGTGCTCTGTTTATATTTCGCTTTATTATTTTTGTTGGGGTTGAGTGCCAGTACCTGGACACATATCTATATCTATATACATGAAAATGTATTCCTACTTACCGTAACTTTCTTTTCCTGGTCATATGGCCATGGCAGCACAACAATGGGAAGCTCCTCCCTATCCCTAATTAGACAGGAACCTAATTAAAACCGTTTTGTTTCCAGCAATATCAAAGGGTTGGAGACTGTCCCCGGTAATTTACTCTCCCCGGACAGTCCCGGCCTCCCCCCTCTCACACTGTGTCTGCTGGCCGCCGTGGTATTTGTTATTAAGCTGCTGGACTCTGAGATGTGCCTGCTCACACTGCTCTCCCCACGCGGTAATGCTCTTATGAGAGGAGTCTGTAGTGGGCGGGGCATGTGACATCACTTCCCTTCCCATCAGGCCCTGCTAGAGGCACTTTCCATCCACTTATACCACCAACGGTAAACAGTCATGTTTGATTTTATTTCTCTAATTAAATAAGTATGTATCCAAAGGGCTAAATCGTATAGTTTATGTGGAGCTCTGTGTTTTATTAGTGCCACCTCTTTTCTCTTCCCCTTATGCATCTCTCTCCCCATCACTAGCATCCATCCCCCTCTTCCCATCACTGGCAGCCATCCCCCTCTCCCCATCACTAACAGCCATCCCCCTCTCTCTGTTACTAGCAGCCATCCCCCTCTTCCCATAACTAACATCCAACCCCCCTCTCCCCATCACTAGCAGCCACCCCCTCTCTCCCCATCACTAACAGCCACCCCCTCTCCCCATCACTAGCAGCCACCCCCTTTCTCCCCATTACTAACAGCCATCCCCTCTCTTACCATCACTAAAAGCCATCCCTCTCTCACCATCATTAACAGCCATTCCCCTCTCTCTGTTACTAGCAGCACTCCCTCTCCCCATCACTAGCAGCCATCCCCCTCTCCCCATCACCAGCAGCCATCCTGCCTCTCCCCCATCACTAGCAACCATTCCTCTCTCTCCTCCTATCACTAGCAGTCCTCCTCTCTCCCTCCCAACTGCTAGCAGCTATCTCCCTTTCTCACCCCTCTCAACACTCAGTATGTGTTTCTGAATGTATCTGTATGCCTGTCTATATGTCTCAGTATGACTTTGTATGTCACTGCATGACTGTATGTCTTTGTATGTATATCTCTGTATGACTGTGTTTGCTTTTGTCTGTACGTCTATTTATGTTCGTGTCTGTTTGTCTCTATATGACTGTGTCTGTATGTCTCTGTATGACGTGTCAGTATGTCTAAAACACACAAAGGGGCAAATGGGGGTAAGATATTCAAAAGAGGGGATATGAAACACTAAACGGGTTAAGAAATTCAAAAGTGGGGGTTACGAGACACACAGGTGAAGACACAATGGGGGGTTTTTTGGAGGGGGGGGGGGAGGGAGAGGCATGTGTCTTCGCCTGTGTACCCAAAAATTCTCACACCGGCCCTGAGTCCCAGCAACTTGCAAGGCCGGACTCATAGTGGGCCCTAATGTGCCTTTAACTTATTTTCCAGGCTGTTACAGTCTGAGGGGAATTCAGGAGGGAGATGCTAAGGGCTGGAGATAGGCATTGGGGGCTGCTACTGGGTGCCCGAAGTAGCACTGAGTCTCCCTTTCCAAATTCCCGGCACACAAGCTACGCCTCGTGCACAAAGTCCCGCCCCCACACCCGCTAGCTTTGCCCCTACCATTAAGCAGCAGACCTTGCTGCAAGAAGAGGCCAGAAAATGGCTACTTGACCTCTTCTCCCCTAGAAACAATCTCCAGTGACAGGTAGGCTTGAGCTACTCAGCAGCCC